GTAAAAATATTACAAGTTCCAATTTAGTTAAAATTAGATATTTGAACAGAGAATAAATATTTAAGTTATTTTTTTTTTATAATTTAAAAATATAATTTGTTAGTACTTGAAACTTTTAAAGTATATTAAATGAAATGTTTTCAGCAAAAATTAATTGTACCTATTATACCTATTTTACTTGTATTAATATAAATAAATGCTTACTTTAATAGCATTAATATTATAAAATATACTTTTAGTATTTAAAGTTGGTTGTAATCTTAATCTTTTTTTGTATGCAATGATTGATTATTGAATTTAAATTAAAAATATACATTATAGTTACCCACWTATCACCTAAAATGTATAACAAAGCCGTACTTATTTCTMTCCTTTTTTATTTTTACCAAAATATATTCATCAATATTTATTAATATTTTAGCTCATTCATTGCAGCATATGGCGTGAAAATAGGTAAGTTTTTTGTAGTTACTTGCCGGACGCCAAAATAGTCATTTCCTAAAAAAATATACAACTATGACCATAGATCTATATACTACAGGTGTTACATTCATATCTATTATGTAATACCAAATTATTTAATTGTAACCTTGCTATCTAAACTATATTGGTTATATTATATATTATATTATTGATAGATATACCGTATACATAATACGATACTGGTTTAGTTGACGCCCGCCACTTATATTTCTTGTATTTTCCATAAAATTAGGAACAAAGTATTTAAATAACTATAACACAATAAATACAAAAGTATGAAAAATTATATTAAATATTTTATCTATGAATCTATTTGAGGAAATACTGAAATATATCCGAATTTTGGCCACCTGCATAAGTTAATGTATTTTTAATTTTAACGATTATTTTATAATATTATCCATAGATAGAATATTTAATAAAATTTTTCATACTTTTGTGTTATAATTATAATTATTTCTAAATACCTACCTATAAYTCCTAATTAAAGTAAATAATATAAAATACGAGAAATATTAGTGGCGTGCATCAAATAAACCAATACCCCTAATACATATCGATCAGTCTATTATTAAATTAAGATTTTGATCTTTCTGCTTTTATTATACCAAACACTAAAAATCTATTATGCTTTTTATTACTGTAAATTTTAATAAATTATAATCTAATAGCACTCAAATTTCTATAAAGCAAAATGTACATTAAAATTACGTTGTATATACTACCTATYTTTTTAAATATTATTAGATATGTACAATAATAACTATTATTCATTGACCAATGTTAACATTTCACAAATTTAAAACAAAATTCATCTAGGTACTACAAACTCCTTATATTATCACAATATCAATATATAAACGATCCATAAAAATTCATTTAAATTTAAACCTTATTTCCTATATGATTTTATGAATCTTATTTTAAAAAWTAATTATAATCAATTTATCTAGAATCTAGATTGTTGTATGATTTCAAATTGGTTTCATATAGAATAGATTACTTTTTTCTATTTAAATATTTTATAGTGAAATATATTGNGATACTATTTATAAATTATGTCACATGGGGATTGAACAACATTTTAAGCCAATATTAGATGAAATGTTAATTCCAAGAGTAGTTGGAACGGATAATCACGAATTTATAAAAACGGTAAATTTTAAACAAATAAAAAATTAAAATTAATTATATTGTATTTATGTATTTAGTTTATATAAATAACCAGTTTTTTGATTCTACTAAATTATAGTATATTGCGGAGGAAATGAAAAATAATGGTTGGGTAGTGGAATTAGATGAGTTCAAAGCTTTCACACCAAAGGGCTTGTACAATATGACTAACGTTGTGGCTACTCTAAACCCCATGGCTGATCGGTATATAGTTATTGCTTGCCATTATGATTCAAAATTAATGGATTTTTATTTTGTCGGCGCTACTGATTCAGCAGTACCTTGTGCTATGATGTTATACATGGCAGAATCATTAAACCAACGACTTGAAGCCTTCAAAAATACTGTAAGTTAATATACAAAATAAAACTATTATAATTATTTCTAACTGACATTTTAACTTTTAAATCAATACCTAGGTTGCATGACCAATCACTAAATGTAATGAATCAATGTGAGCTAATGATCCCTCAAACATGATTTGGTGGACCACGATTGGTTCATTAAATTTTTGTTGAATCATTCAATAAACACATTTTCATACAACCCTGCATAAGTTTAATAATTTAATAATAAAAAATTGTTACACATCTAATGATATAACTATTTCACTGTGGTTARTCTACAAAAATTTTATAAATTATAAAAACATTAAATCTAACTTTGGAAAACATACAAGAATCAATAAAAATAAGGAAATAGCGTTACTTCAAAAATTAATTTTATATTCTGCTGCTGTGATCAAATATTAAAAGAAACGAAAAAGTTGTGGCATAGATTTTTACCGAAAAAAAACAAACAATAATATTAATTATTATACTAGATTATATTCTTTTATAAGTAAAATTATATCTTTCTTTTAAGTAGTTTTGACTTTTAAATTTGGTTTTGTTTTTTTTAAAGGTTTAATTCATATTGTTTTGCGGGTCAAGTTTAATAGAAAAAAATTAGCTAACTAAGCACGCTGCTGGTTTGAAACAATTAAATTTAGCTGAAAGAATTAAATCAAACCAAACCAAAACTTGAAAAATTATGT